TAAGAAATGGTCGACCCCCAAAATCGTGCCCTTCGTTTGCCCAACGGTTGGCCACGACGACCGATGCATTATTCACTACGGTCGAATTACCTGTAAAGCCACAGCCCGGTGCCGCTAAGAATACATCTGCTGTGTGCAGCCACATTAGGAGTCAGACAACTAAGATCCGAGAATGGTCACCGAACAAAACCTTGCCTTCGCCCACTGCCTTATGGGTCAGAACTTTGAGTCAAAGGCTCAGGATGGGATACCTCAACCAAAAAGCTCTCTTTGGTCTGGGCAACCGGGAAAAATCATTTGCACATACAGCTCTTCAATCAGCCTCCACCTCATATAAGCCCCTCTGGTTCATCTAGCCGTCGATAACCTAACCTAAGCTTCTGATCAATAAATTAAAATAAGCCTCCATTACATTCAAAGGATCCGTTCCACATTGCGACTTTCTACGTCCGCACCCTGAGTTCAGTTGGGCAACAGCCAGCTCTTGCTCGGATTTTGTTTAATCTTTCGATCGATGTAAATCGTTCCTCCGGAAGACATACCAGACCCATGCTCGGTCGTGAACTCCAGGTCGCTCTGGACGAACCCGGATTCTTCGCACTTTACTCTTCGGGTATCTGGTGATACAATGGCTCGTGGGATTTACGGTGTGGGAGTTATGCTTAACCCGAGCTGAAGGCGCTTTAATTGGCTGGATACCAGCGAGTAGTCGTCTTTACGCTGTTCGGTTGACTGGTTCAAGCAAGACAATGTCTCGATGTGGTAAACGGTGTTGTTTGGTTGACAATATACATTCCAACAGACGGCTGCTCTGAGGTTGAGAAAGACAGTTTGCATTGGAATTTGTCACAGCTGCTCTTCAGGCAGGTGACACGAATGGCCAAGCTGACCAACTAAGTCCTAAGGAAGTTTATTTCGGAGTTGGATTCGCGGCTAATGCTCACCTCAGTTAAGGGCTGAATATCATTTGTTAATAGCAGCCACAAATTCTAAGCACAAGCCCTCACACCGTGACTTGAGGGCCACCACCTGCAAACCAGTTGTGGACTGAGCTGGGTCGTGGCAATCAACTACCGACAGAGTTTCGATTTAAGACTTGTTCATTTTGGATAACACCGCTTGACTCTGATCACACGCTGTGCGGGCATTCATAGCTATTGCCTTTCCCTCTGGAACACGCCGGTTGATGCAAGGCCATTTAGTTCTTCACCTGAGTCCTTGCAGATCAACAACATTGAGTTGAGTTGGCGAAGAGAATTCCAAAATTTGCGATGGTTGTAATAGTTATTTGAATGACCATTTGATAAAAGTGAGAGGTCATACTTGTAGCTGTTGAACCATCGCCCAACCCTCCGGTGAACACTGGATCTCGGCACGATCAGCAGCTCTGATTACAACCAGGAAAATTCTACCAGCACAGAACGACTAAGATGGCAGGTCCCTAAAGCGCCCAACAAGGAAGAGCCTAAGGATTCGAAAAGAGCGACGGTAGGTCGCAAAATCTTGTGGAATTTAGGCCTTCGTAAATAGGGAAAAATCATACCCTGTTCCAGCAGGTCCGATCAAGTGGTCCAAAGGAGTGTTTTAGTTAAAAGGTGTCCTGAACGATGCCTGAGCATACTTCAGCTGGGCTCGAGATGGCCCAATGGTTGAGGTGTGGACCTAATAACCAAAGGGTCGTGGTTCTCGACTACCCCTGTTTGGGCTTGGGCAACCTAGCAGCATCTCAGCCCTCGTGATTCTTATGGGTGCCATGGCAGACATCGACAATTCGTGCTCTAGACGTGGTTGCGTCATAAAATTGGGTTTCTAAGCCGTGGAACACTGATCCACTTCACTTATGATTTACCTGACATACCTCAGTGCTCATAGATCTTATTAACAGGGTCCTATTACCGTTTTTGTGGGACGTGGATTTGTGACAAGGAGGCGGGAATGGACCGTCCCACTTTCACTGCTTGGCCATAGATGTTTGGAACTGGTCCATTATCACTGTAATGAGGACCTAAAACATCCATCGAAATAGCACCGGAACAAAGGAGGGGTCCGCTTAATGATTCCCGGATGACCGTAACACTAAGTCTTTCGAGCTTCGCAAGCAACTTGCCTTGCGTGTTTCCTTCGACGCATACGCCGGGGAACTTCTCAGCTGCATGCATTTCTTCGTTCCCTTTGGTTAGAGGCGGGAAGTAGCATCACACGGAGTGCCTGTCTTTCGTGTCCGCAAAATATCCGTCATCTGCGTTTTGCCAACCATTTATTCGCATGTTATACGTACCGGTTGGTCTATGTGGTCGATTCACTTTTGTCTCGTAGTCGTCCTGCCGCCTGTGAACTCGTTTACTTGACCTCAGTCCCATTTTCTCACAATATACTGGTGTTGTTCCTGAACAGGCATCCTCCATTTCCAAGACAATGACTTGTCTTGCAGTGAACTGAACCGATGTCTTCTAAGTTTGTATTGTATTTTTCATTCTACTGGGTCTGAATTGTAAAAATCGTTCAAAAGTAGCACCATTTCGGTGCTAAAATGCCATGCCACGAGAAAAAAGTACGAGGGCTGGGATACTGCCAAGTCGCCCTAGCCTAGGCACGGGAGGTCGAGAGGCGGAGGTCGGGTTCGAACAACCGACTTTCCTGTCAGTAAATTCGTGCTCTAACAACTGAGCCATCTTGCCCCTTTAATCGTGACATAAAGTAGACAAGCGTTACTACCTAAAACTGGAACATTCATAAGAAGACCAGGTAGGAAATAAAAATCATCCTTTCAGCGCCTAAATGCCGTGCAACCCGAAGGAAGCACAAGGAGCGAAGTGCTCCCAGGTCACCCAAGACTAGGTAGGTGCAGTCGAGATGCTAAGATTGGGTTCGAACTTTAAAGGTCAGTAAGGTCGCGCCTCAACCAGTCAGCTATATCGGACTCCAGTCGAATGTAGGCATCAAATCACAAGAATCTCCATTCGGTATTCTATGGTAGCGAGTCCATTAATCGACCGGTACCTCCGTTAACTATAATACGGCCGTACCATAAAACGGCGCCAAAAACAATGGTAAAAATTCCAAAGTCGGTCTCCAAAGCAGTCCAGTGACAGATGGGTGGCGACTGGCTTTGAAATAGCATCAAAAATCTTTCATGTGTGAACCTGAGGCGTTTATCGCAGAGAACTTGCTTGGGTTACTTAACAGTGTGTTGATTCACCATTTCTCAGCCCCAGACCATCGTTGTAGGCGTTGAATCTGATGACAGATCAGTTTGGTCCGACACTGTACGACGAGTACGCGGTTATTACAACTGACAATGATGATGATGGCCCGACACTAGTACTGAATTTCACCCGTGTTTAGACACTTGCAAACCGCTACCGTGTTGTGCTAAGTCAGTGCGAAGAATTCTTAAATATTCACCCCAGGAGGACAGCGCACAGGCTCTGCTTAAACCCACCTTTGGACACATGGACGAGATATTTCAGTTGTATTGTTACTTGAGAGCACTAATAGACGACACATCAGTCGCCAGCTGGACAATATGGGAACGACGGAAGCCTTCTGCATGGCACATGAACTACAGCACGTTTTGGGGACCGGATAAGGAAGGAATAAACTCCACGTTGGATCTAAAGGAAATGAGTGGTTATTCCATTGAAGTTCCTCCTACGCAGCACCAGCAATAATCACAACCCTGCTGAAAATCCAGGTAGGTATTTTCGTTCTTGGAGTTGTTTTCCACCTTCGTCCCAGGGTTCCTTGTCCAACTGTGTTTTGAGATGTGCCATCGATGTGACTCGGTGGTCCGAATTCCGGGATGGGTTCCAGTGGTCTTCCTGTGCTTGTCTGGAGAAGTTAAAAGAACCGGTTGGTGGTATGTCCCATCCGTACCAGGTAGGAGCCGCATTATTAGTCCGTTCAAGATAATCCACCAGGATCGATGGTCCCGTGGATGTTTTCACGAGATGTTATATTATTGGCAAGTATCTTTACGGTAAGTGGTTCGTTTGACTGGGAGAAGTTAAAAGTCACTCGGCAGTGTTCCCCTGATGCTCTTGTTTGTAGTCTGGACTCCCCTAATTGAGGAGCACGGTACTTAAATCAGGCTACAGGCCCTTCCAGTTGATCGATTTACTTTCCAGAACTGCGTATGAGCATGACAGCGTTTGCGTGACATACAGGGTCTTTGGACTTCGTCGGCACCATATGACCCATTCCGTATTGTCCGTGTCGCATTTGACTGCGACGCTGGTGCGTTAGGATCGTTATTATCTTCCTTTTCCAGACTCACATCTGCAGTAGGATCGTTATCTTCCTTTTCCAGACTCACATCTGCAGTTTGATTTCCGATGGAGTCCGCGGCCTTGACTGAGTGACCCAGTGCTTCCATAACGTTATGGTTGTAAAAGTGGTCGAATTGGTACTAATCGAGTTCCTGCCTTGCAATCTTTCACTCTAACGCCGTCACTCTCCATATGATCAACGAAAGAATGGTAACTAATCGAAGGGGTTCCACAGAAGAACGTGTATTTTTACTTAAAGGGCTGCATAAGAGAAATGCTGCCGCCTGCCAGTCATCGGCCACGACACCAAAATCTCTGCGCGGTCTTTCACTCTAGAGCTGGTCACCCTCAGCTTTCGAAACTACTCACCAGGTTTCCATTCGATCCACAGGGGTGAATGTGAAATTACCAGACTTCCCCTTTTTAAGTTTAACCAGCTCGTTAGCCGCATTGGCAAAAATAATTTTTCTCGGGCCTTCCAGCGTTGGCTTGTGACAGTCGAAACTCGGACGTAATACCTATCAGACTAACCTTATCGACAGAGAAATCACAAACAGCAGAATCTACAGAAGCAGCAACTGGCATGGACAAATCCTGGTCGGCTGCGGCCAGTCATCTGAACATTTAGTTCCCTTACTGAGGAGAACGCACCACCCTTAAAATGGCCGGCCAGTTGTGCCAAGGGAATAAAAACACATTCAGTGTGCATATTTATCCGTTAATGATATATACCGTCTGCTTCGGTTAGCCTCCTCGTTTGCAGCAGAGAAATACTCATGACTTTGGCCGGCTGGAGCGTGGCGCCTCCGGTATTCTCCAACGTTGAATACTAAAATACAGAATAAGCGACAATCGGCAAGTCACCCACCCTTGGTGTGTATCCCCACCCAGTTTAGATACCTGCTCAATTTCGTTGCGATGTAAGACTTGCCTCGCGCCGGAAGGCCAACAAGTACAACAACAACTTTTCCCTTCTTCTGACATGTGCCTAGATCCGTGGTGGATAGATTGGAGAGTGGAGCATAATTCAACGAAATCCGCCTATTCTTGTGGTCCATTCAGAACCGAATATATAGTGTGGTATCTCAGGAAGTCAGCGGTACCCGACGTTCACAAAGATGCAGTGACGGTCCGCTCTGGAATGAACAGATATGGAAAGTAGTATTATTGGGGCAATATGGCACAGAGCACTTGCGCTACAAATATCGTATTCAAACAATGCGGCCACCCTTCATCAACTCTCGAAAGTGGCACGAAGGAACAAGCGGGAAAAGTTCTCAGTCGCTGACTAGAAGCACACCCAAATTATTTCCGCCGAAAGTATCGGGTCTTTGAGGTTGTGACTTTAACGGTGAGTTACTAATCCGTTGCACTCTCCGGTGGCGTGTTACTCGTACGATTTTGTTTAATTGAGGGACGTTTCAAGGTCATGGACACGGATTCACGGATTCACGGATTGATACACAGGATCGAGGCTTTTCCCAAGTTTCCCGGGTTGGTTTTGTTCTTGTCGGTCAGTGGCTGTCGTTCACCTGAAAGGCACAAGTGAAAAAAGGGTGTAGCACTGCTCTTCATGTTCTCAGCGCGGGGCAGTATGTTTGCCAGCACGAGGATTCACATAAATAAATGTCTAATAGTGCTTTAAATTGGGTTCGAGAAGGAGCGTGTACAACCGTCGGAGGAAGGTCATTCCACGCAACTACTACCCGAAGTGAAAAAAAGTTTTGTCTAATGGATGTGTGTGCCCTGAGCTTGGAAATTTTCTTACTATGTCCCCCCGGGTGTTTGCTGGGTCAACGGTAAAAACCTGTTTGCCAAGCTTTGTTGAAGCAGGGCGTAATTAAGAATTCGGTCCCCTAGCAGGCGACGGTATTCCAGAGGAAAGAGATCAAGCATCGCGGGACGCGTTTCGTAGTCCACGGATTTGGACCATAACTGCTTCGCATTTTGTTACCGGTTTACGCAAGTTAAAACACGAAATCGCGCTTCAGCAACTTTTGGCATTATTCAGTGTTGACTAAGAATGAAGAAACCTCTAAAGAATATCTAGCGCAAATTCCACCCCGGGATATCGGTCATTAACTTTGTTTGCTCTAAACTCCTCAGATATGGTGTGGCGTTTTGTACATTTATTTTACTTCCATTATAACACCACGTATTTCATCAATTGCATAATCGTTTTTTGTTTGAATACGAAAAAGCTACAAAAACGCGCACTTGTACATTTTCATTAAAATACAAGCGTGGTCACGTGCTTCGACTGTCTCTTCTGATTTCGCTCACGCTTGCGGCGGTCATTCGCGAGTCTCATGTACTAACTCTGGTACCAAAACATTTCAGACATCTTCGGGATCTATTATATGTGGGAACTGTTCAGAAGAAGACCTCTGGACCAACATGATTGGATTATTGTTTATTCGTTGGCCTGGGCCAACGACGAACTATTTTACGGAGAACAATTGTTAGTGAGTCTGTTCCATCTGACCTCTTTATTTTCGTATACCCAACCTAGCGTCATTATTTTTATTCCATTGCCACACACTCCTGGTAAACCAGCTTATTGGGTAGCCAGACCACTACAAATTTGGTGAAGCCCGAGTATTCTAGATATTTTTTGAAAGCGTTTCTTTCAAGTCGTCGTGATTTTGTTTCTTTTGCCCTGTATTTATGGAAGCACATTTTGAATCAGCGGATTTAGTCGAGAATGCAATTAGCAAACGTTTACCTGACTACAATCCACGCAACCCCGGGGTATGGTTTCACCAGATGTAGGCTTGTTCTGCCACGCGAGGGA